TTTTTGAATGAATAACATATCAGTATGTGAGCGCATTAATACTGTTAACTAAATTTGACATAGGGCTCCATGCCATGCACCTTTTTGAACTAAGTTCGTGAAATCTTCCGTTTTCCTGACTGTTTGAGTAAAGGTTTCATCTGTTTTGAGAGTCATTTTCCAAAACAATATTTTTAAATCCAAGAAAATATGCTTTGTAATGAACTGATGATAATTCTATTTTAAGGTTATTGAAGGAAGCATTCCCTATTACTGGAAATGACATCATTCATACTAGATTACCATTTGCTGTTTTCATGAACCAGGTGACAGATGGTATCACTATTTGCTCTGAAACCATATAATATGATCTCAGTCACTGGATTGCCAAGTCAGAATTTTATACTCGACTCTGAGAATTATGGACTTACGAAAAAATATTTTACAAAGCAACGTCGCGCAAGGCGTCGTCATTTTTATGCAACGTCGTTCGTTTTTTACGTGCCACGCGATGGCAATTATAGGACATAATACCAGCCCCTTCTGTCTTGCCATTCGGCATACTTCTTAGTTTATGTTAATAAATAACAATGTACAGGGCTGTTACAAGTATATTAGACAGAAATTTCACATACAATTTTTGACCATGCTAAGGACTAACGGTATTTTATTTGTCCTTTTTGCAAGAAAAAAGTGAAAACAAATATATTTCAACACTGACGTATTGGCATCTGTCTGTGAATACCACTGACAGGACTTGGGATCCGGAATAGCGGAACCAGGTTGGCACCTTCAACGTTATTGCACCCGTAACCATTTTACTAGAAGTTACGTATACACCATCGTGCTGTTATGAATCTATTGATATATGGGAGAAGAAACATTTCAACTGAAACGACTAAGTGGGTATGTGACGTAGAGTCAAACAAAGTGTCGTGATGATAACTTGTCATTGCCTTGTTTCAGTCACCGGCACCGTCACCGGCATCGGCATCGGCATCGGCATCGGTAGGTCATTTCATAATCAGAATTTACCCCCTTTCTGTGTCTTAAGCAATATTTATTAAAAAAATCCGAAACGAATATTTCAACATGCAATATGCCCAGAAGAATTTCTTTCAAAAGGATATTGCGTCCCTCGTCGTGATATTGCTGGAATATTGCTAAAAGCGGCGTAAAACCAAACTCACTTACTCACTCTTTGAAAAGGAGCAGGTTGACAGGACACACCTCCAAACCTGTAGGGGTCAGGGACAAGTAGTTGTGGGTTACCTTTTTGGGCTGAAACCTCTGCTGGAAGTATATTCTGCTTTTGCTTTTGCTATGCTTTACATCATTTCTAGGCATTTCCAGACATAGACTTCAGGTCTCCATTGTTGTATTTTATATGTTTATAAGATGTTGACATCATGTCTCTCCAACAGTCAGCTGCGTGGATAAACTCACCAACTGCAATACCTATGGCACCTCCATCTGTAACGACCCGAAATACGCCTCGTGGGCGGTCGAGAACTGCGCACTGACCTGCATGAAATGCAAGTTCTACCACATACGCATAGAGTTTGCTCACATCTACGTGGGGATATCAAAAAGTTCTAATTATCACCAAGACTTATTCAGGGTACATACTTTATTTTGCTTTCATGTCCTTATGATTTCTCTACATAGTCACCATCCCGAGTTACACATTTCTGCCACCATTTCTTGACCTTGCGCAGACCGGCTGAATAGAGGTCCCCTGATTTCATGCACCTTGGCCTTTTTCGGAGGTGGTGACGTGGCATGTTTCCACTCTTTACTCATCTCTGTTGTCTCAGGATCATACAAATAGACCCAACATTCGTCCATGGTTACAAGACATCTGAAGAAATCCTCTTCACCCTGCTACAGAAGCTCCAATGCCTGTCGTGACATGTCCCGTCGAGTCTGTCTTTGAAGATGAGTCAGTAAGCGAGGAACCCAGCGTGCGGACACTTTGGACACGTGCAGTTGGTTATGAATGATGTTCCATGCACTGCCATAACTCAAGTCGGTCTCATGCATAACCATTTGTATTGTTACACGGCGATCTTCCTGAACCAGCGCCTCGACTTTGTTCACGGTGTCCAAATCATCAGTAATAAGGGGCGTCCACTTCTTGGCTCATCTGTGAGGGACATTGTGACCAGCTTGGAAATTCCTTTTCAATGTCACAACAGTGTCATAGGATGGGTTATCATTACCTTAAACAGATTACATCTCATCGTGTATTTGTCGTGCAGTGCAGTCCTTCAAGTGCAAGAACTTAATTACTCTGCGCGCCTCAATATTCTCCATACTTGGGGGTACTGGTGTGTATGATCAGCTAGCACAAGAGTAGTGAAGTAGTACTTGGTCCATTTACTAGATAAGGATCACTGATGTTACAGTCAAAATGTTATCCTGATTGCGCAATAACTTCTTGGGGATAATTGGAACTTTTTGATACCCCCTCGCATCTCACCTTCTAGCAGCTACACAATGTCTTTCCTAATTGTCTTTCACCTATGTGAAGAATAGTTCACCAAGACTGTTTGAACGAAATACTATCAATATTGTTTCACATCATAGAAGTTTACAGAAACGGTACTAGTCTCTATCGCGTCTACGAGTAACTATGATAATACAATGATATTAGGGTCATGACTATGGGGTAATGAATATTGTTATGACGGCGTTTACATCATTTCAGGTGGATCTATAACGGGAACCGGAATTGGAACTGGGACACAGACGGGAACTATAACAGGAACTGGAACCGGAACGGGAACAATAACAGGAACTGGAACGATTACAGGATCTGGGAATGGTACTGGAACGATTACAGGATCTGGGAACGGAACCGGTACATGGGTGTTTAAAACCTTTTAGAATGACAGGCTATTTTGTCGTAGCGATCTCAAATACACTAGGTGGGCCGTCGATAATTGCGCCCTGACCTGCATGAAATGTCGTATATTTGTTTCATTGCCTTTGCTTTGTCAGTAAAATTTGATCAGCAGAGAGTCTGCTTTGACAGGTACCTGTGTGGATAAACTGGCCAACTGCAAGACTTACGACACCAGCACGGTCTGCAGTGGAACGTACGAGCAGTGGGCGATCGACAACTGTGCCTTGACCTGCAACAAGTGTTAGTTACTATGATTTTATGACATATACAGATATGTGAGAGCTCTTTCAACTAAATACTTATATAGAAAATAGTCATACGGTCGTGGCATGTTTCCACTCTTTACTCATCTCTGTTGTCTCAGGATCATACAAATAGTCCCAACATTCGTCCATGGTTACAAGACATCTGAAGAAATCCTCTTCACCCTGCTACAGAAGCTCCAATGCCTGTCGTGACATGTCCCGTCGAGTCTGTCTTTGAAGATGAGTCAGTAAGCGAGGAACCCAGCGTGCGGACACTTTGGACACGTGCAGTTGGTTATGAATGATGTTCCATGCACTGCCATAACTCAAGTCGGTCTCATGCATAACCATTTGTATTGTTACACGGCGATCTTCCTGAACCAGCGCCTCGACTTTGTTCACGGTGTCCAAATCATCAGTCAGTGAGGGGCGTCCACTTCTTGGCTCATCTGTGAGGGACATGTGACCAGCTTGGAAATTCCTTTTCAATGTCACAACAGTGTCATAGGATGGGTTATCATTACCTTAAACAGATTACATCCCATCGTGTATTTGTCGTGCAGTACAGTCATTCAAGTGCAAGAACTTAATTACTCTGCGCGCCTCAATATTCTCCATACTTGGGGGTACTGGTGTGTATGATCAGCTAGCACAAGAGTAGTGAAGTAGTACTTGGTCCATTTACTAGATAAGGATCACTGATGTTACAGTCAAAATGTTATCCTGATTGCGAAATAACTTCTTGGGGATAATTGGAACTTTTTGATACCCCCTCGCATCACACCTTCTAGCAGCTACACAATGTCTTTCCTAATTGTCTTTCACCTATGTGAAGAATAGTTCACCAAGACTGTTTGAACGAAATACTATCAATATTGTTTCACATCATTGAAGTTTACAGAAACGGTACTAGTCTCTATCGCGTCTACGAGTAACTATGATAATACAATGATATTAGGGTCATGACTATGGGGTAATGAATATTGTTATGACGGCGTTTACATCATTTCAGGTGGATCTATGACGGGAATCGGAATTGGAACTGTGACACAGACGGGAACTATAACAGGAACTGGAACCGGAACTGGAACGATTACAGGATCTGGGAATGGTACTGGAATGATTACAGGAACTGGGACCGGAACCGGTACATGGGTGTTTAAAACCTTTTAGAATGACAGGCTATTTTGTCGCAGCGATCTCAAATACACTAAGTGGGCCGTCGATAATTGCCCCCTGACCTGCATGAAATGTCGTATACTGTATATTTGTTTCATTGCCTTTGCTTTGTCAGTAATATTTGATCAGCAGAGAGTCTGCTTTGACAGGTACCTGTGTGGATAAACTGGCCAACTGCAAGAGTTACGACACCAGCACGGTCTGCAGTGGAACGTACGAGCAGTGGGCGATCGACAACTGTGCCTTGACCTGCAACAAGTGTTAGTTACTATGATTTTATGACATATACAGATATGTGAGAGCTCTTTCCACTAAATACTTATATAGAAAATAGTCATACGGTCGTGCCAAATACTCTGCGTATATAATCTAGTGAATGAGAAAAAGGGCAAATATGCAATTAATTCCATTGTCTTTGTCAGTAATATTTGATCACAACAGCTACAGGAGATTGATTTCACTGATGGATCAAACATTCTCTACTACAATATTCTGTCAGTCACACGCTTGTTTTCATGTAGCATTAACATTGACTTTCAAGCGTTCTTATTGTGAAAATTTCGTAGTTGAGTATAGGGTTTGTATTAAGGTACAGGATCAGGAGGTGGAACAATCACTGGACCTGGCACTGGCACCGGAATGACCTATGGTCCTGGGACTGGCACTGGAATTACATATGGGCCTGGAACCGGCACCGGAATTACCTATGGTCCTGGAACTGGCACCGGAATAACATACGGGCCTGGGACTGGCACCGGAATTACCTATGGTCCTGGAACTGGCACCGGTATAACATACGGGCCTGGGACTGGCACCGGAATTACCTATGGGCCTGGAACTGGCACCGGAATTACCTATGGGCCTGGAACTGGCACCTATGGGATTACCCTATGGGCCTGGAACTGGCACCGGAATTACCAATGGGCCTGGGAGCGGCACCGGAATTACCTATGGGCCTGGGACTGGCACTGGAATTACCTATGGGCCTGGGACTGGCACCGGAATTACCTATGGGCCTGGGACTGGCACCGGAATTACTTATGGACCTGGAACTGGAACAGGATCTGGAACAGGTACAGGTTCAGAAACGAATCATATTTAATTCAACATTCAGATGATAATAAATTGTGTTCTAAAATTTTGTTGTAACGGGTTATATTATCTAAAGATGAAACATAAACATTAGAACAAACAAATTTCTAATAGAGAATAATCAGCCAGACTGTTTTCACAGGTACCTGTGTGGATAAACTGGCCAACTGCAAGAGTTACGACACCAGCACGGTCTGCAGTGGAACGTACGAGCAGTGGGCGATCGACAACTGTGCCTTGACCTGCAACAAGTGTTAGTTACTATGATTTTATGACATATACAGATATGTGAGAGCTCTTTCCACTAAATACTTATATAGAAAATAGTCATACGGTCGTGCCAAATACTCTGCGTATATAATCTAGTGAATGAGAAAAAGGGCAAATATGCAATTAATTCCATTGTCTTTGTCAGTAATATTTGATCACAACAGCTACAGGAGATTGATTTCACTGATGGATCAAACATTCTCTACTACAATATTCTGTCAGTCACACGCTTGTTTTCATGTAGCATTAACATTGACTTTCAAGCGTTCTTATTGTGAAAATTTCGTAGTTGAGTATAGGGTTTGTATTAAGGTACAGGATCAGGAGGTGGAACAATCACTGGACCTGGCACTGGCACCGGAATGACCTATGGTCCTGGGACTGGCACTGGAATTACATATGGGCCTGGAACCGGCACCGGAATTACCTATGGTCCTGGAACTGGCACCGGAATAACATACGGGCCTGGGACTGGCACCGGAATTACCTATGGTCCTGGAACTGGCACCGGTATAACATACGGGCCTGGGACTGGCACCGGAATTACCTATGGGCCTGGAACTGGCACCGGAATTACCTATGGGCCTGGAACTGGCACCGGGATTACCTATGGGCCTGGAACTGGCACCGGAATTACCAATGGGCCTGGGACTGGCACCGGAATTACCTATGGGCCTGGGACTGGCACTGGAATTACCTATGGGCCTGGGACTGGCACCGGAATTACCTATGGGCCTGGGACTGGCACCGGAATTACTTATGGACCTGGAACTGGAACAGGATCTGGAACAGGTACAGGTTCAGAAACGAATCATATTTAATTCAACATTCAGATGATAATAAATTGTGTTCTAAAATTTTGTTGTAACGGGTTATATTATCTAAAGATGAAACATAAACATTAGAACAAACAAATTTCTAATAGAGAATAGTCAGCCAGACTGTTTTCACAGGTACCTGTGTGGATAAACTGGCCAACTGCAAGAGTTACGACACCAGCACGGTCTGCAGTGGAACGTACGAGAAGTGGGCGATCGACAACTGTGCCTTGACCTGCAACAAGTGTTAGTTACTATGATTTTATGACATATACAGATATGTGAGAGCTCTTTCCACTAAATACTTATATAGAAAATAGTCATACGGTCGTGCCAAATACTCTGCGTATATAATCTAGTGAATGAGAAAAAGGGCAAATATGCAATTAATTCCATTGTCTTTGTCAGTAATATTTGATCACAACAGCTACAGGAGATTGATTTCACTGATGGATCAAACATTCTCTACTACAATATTCTGTCAGTCACACGCTTGTTTTCATGTAGCATTAACATTGACTTTCAAGCGTTCTTATTGTGAAAATTTCGTAGTTGAGTATAGGGTTTGTATTAAGGTACAGGATCAGGAGGTGGAACAATCACTGGACCTGGCACTGGCACCGGAATGACCTATGGTCCTGGGACTGGCACTGGAATTACCTATGGCCCTGGAACTGGCACCGGAATTACCTATGGTCCTGGAACTGGCACCGGTATAACATACGGGCCTGGGACTGGCACCGGAATTACCTATGGTCCTGGAACTGGCACCGGAATTACCTATGGGCCTGGAACTGGCACCGGGATCACCAATGGGCCTGGAACTGGCACCGGAATTACCTATGGGCCTGGGAGCGGCACCGGAATTACCTATGGGCCTGGGACTGGCACTGGAATTACCTATGGGCCTGGGACTGGCACTGGAATTACCTATGGACCTGGGACTGGCACCGGAATTACTTATGGACCTGGAACTGGAACAGGATCTGGAACAGGTACAGGTTCAGAAACGAATCATATTTAATTCAACATTCAGATGATAATAAATTGTGTTCTAAAATTTTGTTGTAACGGGTTATATTATCTAAAGATGAAACATAAACATTAGAACAAACAAATTTCTAATAGAGAATAGTCAGCCAGACTGTTTTCACAGGTACCTGTGTGGATAAACTGGCCAACTGCAAGAGTTACGACACCAGCACGGTCTGCAGTGGAACGTACGAGAAGTGGGCGATCGACAACTGTGCCTTGACCTGCAACAAGTGTTAGTTACTATGATTTTATGACATATACAGATATGTGAGAGCTCTTTCCACTAAATACTTATATAGAAAATAGTCATACGGTCGTGCCAAATACTCTGCGTATATAATCTAGTGAATGAGAAAATGGCAAATATGCAATTAATTCCATTGTCTTTGTCAGTAATATTTGATCACAACAGCTACAGGAGATTGATTTCACTGATAGATCAAACATTCTCTACTACAATATTCTGTCAGTCACACGCTTGTTTTCATGTAGCATTAACATTGACTTTCAAGCGTTCTTATTGTGAAAATTTCGTAGTTGAGTATAGGGTTTGTATTAAGGTACAGGATCAGGAGGTGGAACAATCACTGGACCTGGCACTGGCACCGGAATTACCTATGGTCCTGGAACTGGCACCGGAATTACCTATGGTCCTGGAACTGGCACCGGAATAACATATGGGCCTGGAACTGGCACCGGAATTACCTATGGGCCTGGAACTGGCACCGGAATTACCTATGGGCCTGGGAGCGGCACCGGAATTACCTATGGGCCTGGGACTGGCACTGGAATTACCTATGGGCCTGGGACTGGCACTGGAATTACCTATGGGCCTGGGACTGGCACCGGAATTACTTATGGACCTGGAACTGGAACAGGATCTGGAACAGGTACAGGTTCAGAAACGAATCATATTTAATTCAACATTCAGATGATAATAAATTGTGTTCTAAAATTTTGTTGTAACGGGTTATATTATCTAAAGATGAAACATAAACATTAGAACAAACAAATTTCTAATAGAGAATAATCAGCCAGACTGTTTTCACAGGTACCTGTGTGGATAAACTGGCCAACTGCAAGAGTTACGACACCAGCACGGTCTGCAGTGGACAATACGAGCAGTGGGCAATCGACAACTGTGCCTTGACCTGCAACAAGTGTTAGTTACTATGATTTTATGACATATACAAATGTGTGAGAGCTCTTTCTTACGGTCGTGCCAAATACTCTGTGTATACAATCTTGTGAATGAGAAAATATGAATGTCCAATTTATTTTCATTGTCTTTGTCGGTAATAATTGATCACAGCAGCCACAGGGGATTGATTTCATTGGTAGATCATACATACTCTCCACCAATACTCTGCCAGTCATACGTTTGTCTTCAAATAGCATTAGCATTGACTTCCAAGCGTTCTTATTTGTAAATGAATTATAGTTTTTGAATTTAGGATTAGTGCCTATAATCGTATGATATGCGCATATATGTGAGAGTTCCTTCAACCATTGGGGCGATCGTCATACGGTTGTGCCAAATGCTCTGTGTATCTCATCGATTCGTGCCGAATAGTGGCTCATCGAAAAAACGAGAAAATACGAATATACAATGTTTCTCATTGCCTACAGCTACGGACTCCATCGATAGATAAATCTACCTTACCACCTACACCTGTTAAAACTCATACCTCGTTTACTCAGTTACTATCACAATCTAATTCGTTTGGCACTGGAACAGGTACAATAACCGGAACTGGAAGTGGAACCGGAACTGGAACCGGCACAGTAACTGGAACAGGTACTGTCATACACCAATACTGGAGATGGTGATATATACGCACTTATAATATCCACTGGGTATATCTGGACAACATCTGTTGAAGACTTGATAGCGATTAAACAAATATGTAATCTATTCACACACAATGGAAGAAGCAGTCGTTCCCAAGTGCATACCGTTCATTCAATCAGTGGTAAACTTGTCACGATGTGAAATATGAAATATTCATGAAATGTAAAGACCACAATTTAGTTACACATCCTCAATACCTGATGGAACCGTTTCTATCATACAAGTAAAGACGTTGCATCAAAACTGAAGCTTCATATACCAACTCTCCTCTTCGTTTCTTGTTGGTTTTACGACTGAAATAGTTCAAGCTGTATTGGGAATGTAATCTGAGCATGATTAGTTGACTTTACGTCTGTTTATCAGATGATTGGTTGTGTTTGTTTCTTTGTTTGTTGTTTTACGCCACACTCAGTAAATAATCCGGATCAGACAATCCAGTGATCATCCTCATGAACAATTCTACGTGGTAAAGTTTCTTGTGACAGACAGTTTAATGAATTTGTTCCAGAAAACAACACAAATATTAAGTTTGTTTGATATTCCCTGGATGTCTTGAAAAACATTTGCTTTGTTTATCTCTTCAAAATGCGAAATGCTTATTATTGAACAAATTATAGAGTCTCTAAGACCTCTTGTAATCTCGTGTGTTTTTGCAGGCGCATGCGTGGACAAAGCACCAAATTGTGCTCAGTATGGATCCGATGTTTGTACTCAGGCAATGTACGCTAAATGGGCGGTCAACACATGCCCGAAGTTTTGTAATAAGTGTCAAGGTGGGTACACCAAATATATTTAATTCAATTAGTTTGACCAAAAAAACTCAGAGAATTATTCCCCAAAGTGTACCATCAGGGATAGAAATATATAATGTCTGAAGGACTGGTAACGAGAGCGAATCTACAGTCTCGCTGTTGTGTCAAACTTTGATGTGTCGAATATATCGTTGTCTCGAAGTTAAAGCTTGGTCGCTGCGTATTCAATTTGCTTATGGGTCAGATTCAGGGACAAGTTATCACTGACAGTAGGAGTGTGTTCATTGCGTTGATTCACCTTCTCCTCGCCGACGCCAGTAAATGTTGAAGATAGGTCTGCTGTTGACTGTTAGACAGATACTACTAGACAGATACTACTAGACAGATACCTCTAATCAGGGATAGAAAATATATAAGTCTGAAGGATACTACTAGACAGATATTGCTAGACAGATACTGCTAGTCAGATACTACCTTAAACTGCTTGTAATGGAGATACTTAGACTCTAGTCAGATTTTGGCTAAAAGTGTTAAAAACATGACCATTCCAGGGTAGACTGCTTGTTCTAAATTGCATGTTAACACATCAGTTCATCGATAAACATGTAAGGCAATTCTGCAGGCACCGGAACGGGTACTGGCACAATCATCTATCCTGGGGGAACAGGAACCGGGACCGGAACTGGAACTGGAACTGGAACTGGAACGGGGACCATTTACTACCCTAGTGGAGTTCCCCTCCCTGGTGGAACTGGAACCTGGACAGGGACCGGGACCGGAACCGGAACCGGAACCGGAACCGGAACTGGAACTGGAACTGGAACGGGGACCATTATCTACCCTGGTGGAACTGGAACCGGAAATGGAACTGGCACCATCATGTATCCAGGTGGGACAGGTAATAATACAAGAGACACAAAATAAACGCAACATGTACAAAACGTCCATTCATCTAGAACACAAATGCATGCAAAATGCCACTATAGATTCTTACGTGAACAATAACTGATCACGGCGTTATACTCTGTGAAAGGTGTTATGCTGAAGATTGTACGTGTTACAACCACATTCTGCTTCTACAGGTGCTTGTGCGGATGTAATCCAGAACTGTGCTGCCTACGGCGCAAGTGTCTGTACCAACAGTCAGTATGATAAATGGGCCAAGGATAACTGCGCCAAGACTTGTAATATGTGCTGTAAGTATGTTTACTGATCAGTTGTAAAACTGGATAATGTTTACAATGTAACACTTAGAGTGAAGACAAAGGAGGACCTATATGCATCTGCTGACATCACTATGTGATAAAAAGTAAATGAAGATTGTTTTTTCAAGCCGGAACTGGTGCTGGTACTATAACGGGAACTGGAACCGGTAGCGGGACCTTTACAGGAACAAGTAGGTGACGATTTTACTTTTGTAAAGTGCCCATGGCATGTTTAAAAGAAAATATAAATAGATATAAAAGAAACATTATCGTTACGGAGATCAGCATTCAGTGTATTCCTGTGCATCTTGTATATCTGAAAACGCATACCAATATCATATGGTCACCGAAATGTATACCATGTAACGGGCGTATGATTCTACAAGGTGCATACGGTAGCGGTAGCTAAAGTACTGTCGGAAATGCTAGAAAAATGCTTTTTGACTTATATTTAAAGTTCAGAGATATTACAGTTACTTAAATAACAAACATCACTTTAAGAAACATCTACCTAATGTAGACGGAGGGAATAGATTTTGAGAAATGCCCTAAAATGTGTTTTTACTGATGAAAATACCAAAAACTTTTAAAAAAGGGGTAGTGGGACGGTATTTGATACAAACATTAACTGCCTGTGTTACGTCATCAGCATGCACGGTATCGACAGGTGAAATTGACACCTGGGCCAGCGCTCGGACGAGGGGTCATCTCAATAGATGTTTTCTTCGAAATGTTGAATATGTGTACGTATAGTATACGTATTGGTTATGTAGGGGATCATTTGTGTATGTGTGTTTGTTTTGAAATAAACATACGAATTACTGTACATTGGAAAGAATCCTATCACTTGTGTTATCTTATCGACTGATTGTAGAAATGTGCAACGTTTTAATAAATGTTTTGCATGTCAACAGTATATTTCATTGCAAAAATATGGATGTAATTCGGTCAGTTTAATCTAGTTGTGAACATTGGCCAAAGATTTAACGAAGTCACTGGTGTAGCTTCTTTAGAATATATATATTCTTCTTCTCATAAAGTTTGTAGACCGCCCGTCTAAGTACTCTCTTGTCAAAGTTGTCAAGGATGGTTTTACGTCCCGGTTATGCTTTTAAGACGGTCCCTGTCTTGTCTGATTTGTTTACAATATCTAAACTTATTGGTAAGACATACCAACAGCTGTACAAGTTCTGTAATAAACCCTTTCTAAACTAATGAAAGGTTTACCTCTGTCTTCTTCAAGCACAAAAAAACTTATAAACCTTTGCAACAATCGACTGCAAATAGTTGGCCATAGTGGACGCTGTGATAAAGATGTGCATGCATGACGGGAAACGTCTTTATCAATTTATCAACATTTATATTAATATTTCTCCAATAAAGAAACGATAATTAAGTAAAGTAACACAAACATTCAACATTTATTTGTTTAAGAAAAACGTTTATTCATATTTTACACCACCTGTATTATTAGCATAAATGTCAAGACTATTTCAGATTTCTGTTGTTGAACTCTCCTGTAAACTGCCCTTTAAATGCATGGGAATGTTAAATCAATTGAAATAAATATTAGGTACACTATAGGTGAGTTGATATATTGACAACATGGTACATTTATCACCTTTCTAGCATTTCCGACAGTACTTTAGGTGGGATGCGTGAATATGGTTTTACTCAGGTTTTCGCAAAATTTCAGAAATATCATGGCCAGAGAGACCAGAGCCCTGTAACGGTACACGTGCTATATCTCCTTCGGGGGTGGTAAGGTAGAGACAGTGGTTGCAACATGTGTTACAGGATATGTTATAACGGCAAATGCTTGAAATCTTCCCCAGGTTCCGGGTGTGTGTTCAAAGGCCAGGTCTACCAACAGGGACAGTCATTTAAAGATGGGTGCAAGCAGAGATGCACGTGCCAGGATGCTAAGACCGGCCGATATGCCTGTGACGATCTGTAAGTTCTTACTTGGTGAACGAGTGTTTTTCCTTGACACAGGCACTTGCTAGGTGAACGAGTCCTTGACACAGGCCCTTGTTCGGTTAACGAGTCCTTGACACAGGCACTTGCTAGGTGAACGAGTCCTTGACACAGGCACTTGCTAGGTGAACGAGTCCTTGACACAGGCACTTGCTAGGTGAACGAGTCCTTGACACAGGCACTTGCTAGGTGAACGAGTGCTTGTTCTTTGGTACAGGCGCTTTATTAGTGAATTAGTGCTTTTCTTTGAGACGGGCGCCTGCTTGGTAAAAATGCGACTTCGATTCAATGCTTAATCTTGGTATCATCTTTCAATCAACAATGTCATTAGAAAATCAAATCACTCAGCAAAGGATGCTTCTACGATATCTTCAATATTAGCAAGATCCGAACCCTCTTAGACTTCAACACCGCCCAGCTTCTAACGACCAGCCTTGTTCTCTCTAAACTTGATTACTGCAACTCCCTCTATTACAACATTCCTCAACAGCTCCTTTCACAACTCCAACGGATTCAGAATTCAGCCGCCCGTGTTGTTGCCCGTGCACCACGCTACCAAACTGTGACACCTATCCTCCAAACTCTTCACTGGCTTCCTGTATCAAGCAGAATTCAATACAAACTTCTTCTTCTTATACACAGCTGCATCTATGAAAACATGTTTTCTCAATATCTTAAAAGCCTCATTCATCTCCATGTTCCAAGCCGATTGCTCCGCTCGTCAAACTCCCTACTGCTTACACAGCCTCACGTCAAAACAGCCATGGGATCAAGAGCGTTCTCTGCTGCAGCCCCCTATCTCTGGAACATTCTACCACTCACCCTAAAAGAAATAGAATCTGCTGATGCTTTCAAAACTGCCCTCAAAACTCATCTGTTCAAACTCTCTTTTCCATAGACATTGTCTACAATCTTTTCTCTTCATAGCGCCATTGAGCAATATCTTTTGGAAATAGGCGCTCTATAAATCAATTATTATTATTATTATTAATCACTCCCTTGGAGAATACCACGCACATTAACTTTTACGGGGCATAATCAGTCATTTTTTATTAATAGGAATTTTTCAACCAAATTTGATGTGTTGCTAGAGTGAAGCTTAAATAACAACAAAACACTTTGATTTTCATACCAAATTATTTTATTAAAAGGTTCTTAGATTTACAAGGCACCCACCCTGAGAAAAAAATTGTTTTTTTCAGCCATTTGTTTTGGTTAGGACTGCACTTAAAAAATATGTTTAAGCATTCTAGCCCTGCATTGGTATCTTGTCTATCCATTTTGGTGATAGTAGGCATATATTTACCACATACAATATGAAAGTCTGACCCTGTAAAAGTAGCACCATATCAATTGTTTTTAGACTTTTTGCTTTTAAACAAAGCTTCATGACTAATGTCTAAAAATGAGTAAAACACAATCAAAATAAACATACATAGTCATTGTCATGGTAAATCAGGTCTTTCTATCCCCAAAAGAGACACAAATGTTAAAAAAGAATAATTTACAGCTTTTATAAATATCCTCTACCTTGAAATTCGAAGGTCATGAGGTACAAATGTATGTAAATGTATTTCGAGGAATATCTCGAGTTCTACCCGTACAATTAACATGGAATTTTATGTGGGGCTAGAGAGCAAGGGATAAGTTATCAAAATACATTTTGTTTTCCACACAGAAAAACATAATTAAACAATTATTAGCATTCAAACACACCCGCTCTATAAAAAAGTTACCGCATTTCTTACCAGCCATATATTTGCTAAGGTATTTTAAAAAATATTTCTACACTTCTGAAAAATATGTGTATGCATTGTAGTTGTTTATTGGCATCATGTCTATCTGTTTTTGCAATAAAAGTGATATACCTAACACATACAATAACAAAATCTGTCACTGAGTGGTACCCAAATCTGCTGCCTCAACACCATCACAGACTGGCCGCATACGACATGTATTAATGACTAGAAAAAGACAATAAATGCATACAAGGCAAGTTTCATGATAACTAAAGTCTCTGGAGTCAAAATAAGTAACAACCAAGTAAAATAAGGACCTCTTGCTCCTTTCGTAAGACAGGAGCAGCCTCGTAAACGTAGACAGCGTATGTACCACAACAAACTGAGTAAATAAGGTTGTACTTCAACAACATACCATACAACAGGTTATATAAATTTTATCTCCTTCGGGTGCTATGCATGATGACACACATGCTGTGTATAACGGTACACGTTCATTATCCCCTTCCGGTGCTATGCATGATGACACACATGCTGTGTATAACGGTACACGTTCATTATCCCCTTCGGGTGCTGTGCATGATGACACACATGCTGTGTATAACGGTACACGTTCATTAACCCCTTCGGGTGCTGTGTGTGCTGACACACATGCTGTGTATAACGGTACACGTTCATTATCCCCTTCGGGTGCTGTGTGTGCTGACACACATGCTGTGTATAACGGTACACGTTCATTATCCCTTCGGGTGCTGTGTAGGTAGTGCTGACGACACATGCTGTGTATAACGGTACACGTTCATTATCCCCTTCAGGTGCTGTGTGTGCTGACACATGCTATATAACGGTACACGTTCATTATCCCCCTTCGGGTGCTGTGTGTGCTGACACACATGCTGTGTATAACGGTACACGTTCATTATCCCCTTCGGGTGCTGTGTGTGCTGACACACATGCTGTGTATAACGGTACACGTTCATTATCCCCTTCGGGTGCTGTGTGTGCTGACACACATGCTGTGTATAACGGTACACGTTCATTATCCCCTTCGGGTGCTGTGTGTGCTGACACACATGCTGTGTATAACGGTACACGTGCTATATCTCCTTCGGGTGCTATGCATGATGCAACACGTGCTATGTATAACGGTACACGTGCTATATCTCCTTCGGGTGCTATGCATGATGCAACACGTGCTATGTATAACGGTACGCGTGTTCTCTTTCAGGTGCTATGACTTCACACTGCCAGCCTCATGCACAATGTTGGCTCCCAAGCCCGGCAAGTGCTGCAAGACACCCAGCTGCCCCTCTAGTGTCACCATCAGCTACCCACCAGGCTACACGGAGGAATAAAACATGTACCTTTCACATTTTCTACTGTGCAATAAACTCAATAATTGTTCGCTTTTCGCACTTACATACAATCCCTATACAACAGGTCCATGGACCCACGGACGCGTGAAGATCCGGGTTAGAACTGATCTTCAGCAACCCATGCTTGTCGTAAAAGGCGACTATACGGATTGGGTGGTCAGGTTCCCTGACTTGGTTGACACGTGTCATCGGTTCCCAAGTGCGTAGATCGATGCTCATACTGTTGATTACTGGATTGTCTAGTCCTGACTTGATTATTTACAGACCGCCGCCATATAGCTGGAAAATTGCTGAGTGTGGCGTTAAACAACAAACAAACAATCCAACCATACAACCAACGTGGTGACAAGACAGGAGTCGGCTTCAGATAGTTGTACAAGTAACTGTGTAGACGTTCCTGGTAGAAACTAGACACTTTGTCTTTGAAGATTGTGAGTAGGCAGTGTGTCTATGACCCTGTTTATGATTGGACAGCGTGTCTATGACCCTGATGATAATTGGACATTGTGTCTATGACCCTGATGATAATTGGACGGTGTGTCTATGACCCTGATGATAATTGGACGGTGTGTCTATGACCCTGATGATAATTGGACATTGTGTCTATGACCCTGATGATGATTGGACATTGTGTCTATGACCCTGATGATAATTGGACAGTGTGTCTATGACCCTGATGATAATTGGACGGTGTGTCTATGACCCTGATGATAATTGGACATTGTGTCTATGACCCTGATGATAATTGGACATTGTGTCTATGACCCTGATGATAATTGGACAGTGTGTCTATGACCCTGATGATAATTGGACAGTGTGTCTATGACCCTGATGATGGTGGACATTGTGTCTATGACCCTGATGATAATTGGACATTGTGTCTATGACCCTGATGATAATTGGACATTGTGTCTATGACCCTGATGATGATTGGACATTGTGTCTATGACCCTGATGATAATTGGACATTGTGTCTATGACCCTGATGATAATTGGACATTGTGTCTATGACCCTGATGATGATTGGACATTGTGTCTATGACCCCTGATGATAATTGGACATTGTGTCTATGACCCTGATGATAATCGGACATTGTGTCTATGACCCTGATGATAATTGGACATTGTGTCTATGACCCTGATGATGATTGGACGGTGTGTCTATGACCCTGATGATAATTGGACATTGTGTCTATGACCCTGATGATAATTGGACATTGTGTCTATGACCCTGATGATAATTGGACAGTGTGTCTATGACTGATGATGATAATTGGACATATGACCCTGATCTATGACCCTGATGATAATTGGACAGTGTGTCTATGACCCTGATGATAATTGGACATTGTGTCTATGACCCTGATGATAATTGGACATTGTGTCTATGACCCTGATGATAATTGGACAGTGTGTCTATGACCCTGATGATAATTGGACATTGTGTCTATGACCCTGATGATAATTGGACATTGTGTCTATGACCCTGATGATGATTGGACATTGTGTCTATGACCCTGATGATAATTGGACGGTGTGTCTATGGCCCTGATGATAATTGGACATTGTGTCTATGACCCTGATGATAATTGGACATTGTGTCTATGGCCCTGATGATAATTGGACATTGTGTCTATGGCCCTGATGATAATTGGACATTGTGTCTATGACCCTGATGATAATTGGACGGTGTGTCTATGACCCTGATGATAATTGGACGGTGTGTCTATGGCCCTGATGATAATTGGACATTGTGTCTATGGCCCTGATGATAATTGGACATTGTGTCTATGGCCCTGATGATAATTGGACATTGTGTCTATGACCCTGATGATAATTGGACATTGTGTCTATGGCCCTGATGATAATTGGACATTGTGTCTATGACCCTGATGATAATTGGACAGCGTGTCTATGGCCAATCTGTATATAACACAGATGGTGATAAGACAGTCCGTAACACATATGGTGATTGGGCAGTGTTTGTGACCGTGATGCTGATTGGACTGTGTGCATTATGACATTGATGGTGATCGGACAGCTGTATATAACACAGATTGGGCAGTGTGTGTGACCGTGATGCTGATTGGACTGTGTGCATTATGACATTGATGGTGATTGGACAGCTGTATATAACACAGATTGGGCAGTGTGTGTGACCGTGATGCTGATTGGACTGTGTGCATTATGACATTGATGGTGATTGGACAGCTGTATATCACATAGATTGGGCAGTGTGTATATAACGCTGATGGTGATTGGTGATTATTAATTGGGTTTTATGGGCAGTCAGTATACGATCCCTATCAGTTAACGACAGTTACTGTATCACCTCCAGCGTTTTAGGACAGTCACTCTATCACCTCTAATGTTTTAGGACAGTCAGAAACTGACCACTCACAGTTTAGGACAGTCAGTGTAAGACCAGTGTTTTAGGACTGTGTACAGACAGGGAGTAATGAGTGACGTAAGCAAACAGACAAACGTTGTCAATGTATAAAACTTGATATCCTTGAGGCTGTTTCTATGGGTCTGTACACAACTTAGGTTAGGGCTAATGAAGCAGCTTCTAATGGCAACTTCTCGGTTCATGAACAGCAGGAGGAATTCTACGGATATGCAACTTCTTTATTATTAATATAATCGACATTTGGGTAGGCTATAGTTACTAACACCTTCATCAAGCGAGTTAGTACCTACACCAACACGTTGCTACTAATTAAGAAGTTGTATATCCATAGAACTCTCCCCGTTATTCATCACATCAACTTCTAAATGCCTCTCCAAGACATTCTCTGTATATCAGGACCGCCTCCGTGGTGTAGTGGAGAGCGGAAGGTCGCGGATTCGATCCCCGACCGCGTCATACCAAAAGACGTTAAAATACGGTACTTGTTGGTCCCTCCGGCGCGACGTTAAAACCCACTTTCACCTCGCCTTACCTTTGTATTTCATGAAAGCAGGTGTGGTCGGGAAGCCTAGTGGTGAAAGTGTTCGCTCATCAGACCCGGGTTCGATGCCCCTTATGGGTTCAATGTGTGAAGCCCATTTCTGGTGTCCTCCGCAGTGAATATTGCTGGAATATTGCTAAAAGCGGCGTAAAACTAAAGTCACCCACTCACTCATGAAATCACCTGACATATTTATTCATACGGACTTTATTTTCAAATACATAGATTACAGTATACATATATATATTTACAACACCAAGATAGGTTATACAATAAAACAATTAAAGGTCAAAGATATAATACTTCTGTCAATGGGTCCCAGCTTTACAACAGTGGTCCTGTGAAGGCGCCAATCTTCAAAGAAGACACATCTTATGTCAATGCTGTCAGGGAAGACTAAAGTGTTTCTACTGGACATGAATTCAAGTGGTTTGGTTTGTTTGCTTTGTAAGGTATTTTGTGTAATTGTAAATCAGTTCATCATATATGACATATCATTACCATCCCAAGTAGCCTCTTATCTCAATAAGGGAGAAATTGTGGCATGTCATATGGGGCCCGTAAGTAGGTCACGGCACTTCACGAGACCTTAGTACTTCCAGTGACAAACAACGTTTCATACTTTTTCGAATGGTCTCATGGTTGTCAGTTGACAGTTAGGAACAGGTAATCCTTGCAGGAATAACAAATTTCTGATCTAACCATCCTCAAATTAGCCAACTATTACGACTGTCAACAACTGTAACAGCCAAGCATGGTTGTACACTTGGTCATGACTAGTAAAGTCATATTTGGCGGTCATGCAATTTGGAACCAGAACTGGTTCTTGAATATACGCATGTCACTGGAAATCTGGTACCTGAAGTAAACTGGGTCCCGTCTGGCATATAGCAAGTTGGCACAGGCAAAGGGAGCCCGGGAACCAGCTTAGTACTGGAAGTACAGGACTTGCAGGCCCTATTGTATCTAAACACTACAGTCTGATATTCAAACTGTGAAGTCTTACCTCTGAACTCGGGCCACACAGACCAATGAATACAAGGATTCCACAAATATACAATCACAGTACACACACAACAATGTGCTATCAGATTACATAAACTGAGGGGCAAAAGAAAGTATGCACAATTTGTTTGCTATGTAAAAAAGTATTCTTTGAGTGCTGACTAACCGCCAGTGCAGTTGCTTTTCTGGAGATGATATCACTAATTAAGATATTTAAACTTCTCACCAAACATATGATAAATTCAACAGGTACAGTATCATTTGCCCCTCAGTTCATCTTCTATATCAATTGTATTAGAACTTTTTCACCTGAACCAATATCACAACAGGCTTTGGTAAAGAATAAAAACATGCATGTAGAACAATTACACATTTATAAGACACAAGACAGAAAATGGATATTTCTTTTAATAGAATAATATACATACAAGTCGGTGATAAACTTCTTTGGCAGTATTATGACATCGAGGGGAAGGCATTAGAATGTAACTTTGGTAGATAACTGTAAATATACCGAGGACCTCTCTCTGGTGATGCTAACTGGACACTGATATTAAAACAGGCACAAGACAAATTATCAGAATAATTATCTTTGGTGAGAGATCAATGATGTTATTAAACATCCCAGTAAAGAGCTTTTGGTTCCATAATACATAATTCATAATCCATGCAATAAAGTTTGCAAATATTCATTTAATGGAAGATTATTGTCAAGTCACTACAATACATTAAAATGTTCTTGATAAACTGAGCTTTCTGTTACTTTGGAGTTCAACATAATGAGCAGAAAATATAGGTACAGTGTAATCACATGACTTAACAACAAGTATATATGGTCTCTGGAAACTGGAAGAAATGTTGACCACATATATTTCAGTTTAACATTTTTGTTAGGCACAGGTAAAACATCATCTGAAAAGATTACAGTTGCAGATGAAAACATCCTCATCAATACCGTAAAATTATCTTAACTCATATCTTCAAGTGTACAATCTTTCATCAAAACAGCATGAGCTGGAAAATACTGTAATGGTTAACAATGAAGCTCAGATATCAAGCTCTCATTACTTGATTCAATATAACAGAGAATATTTGATATAACTGTGTATTCAGTCACTACTCAAAGCCTCAGGTTGATAGATGTTTAATTAAGTAATTACGGCTTCTGATGCTAATGCTGAAGGATGGTTCGGAATAAAAGGGGCAGAGATTCAAGGACACCTTGGGACAAAAACAACAGGTGAACATTGTTACACAACTTGCAGGAATGTGGTTTCTTATATCTTCTGACCAACCCTAAACACATTGCCATTCTCCAGTCTCTGTAGGATGGTGGCTTGTTCCAGTGGGTTGCAGTCGTAGACGGTTTCTGCCGGAACGCGGAATGCCCAGGACAGGTAGGAGTCCATCTGCTGACTAGTGATCTCGGGGTCAGCGAGGCTCAGTGCTCTCTTGAGGTCATCGGGGCTCACAGGACTGAAGCACACAATGATGTGTTGTCAATAGGATGTATGCTTGGTGTATGTATAGTTCCGATGGATGCCACAAAGCCATGTCAACATTGCACACTATTACTATGTCCCCCAAGTTTTGCGATGCTAAACATCAGAACTATGCATTATGTTAAATGTACAATCACAATAATATCCCAGGATGGCTGCCATCTTCCTTCAACACTAATTCTTTGTTTGTTGTTTAATGCCACAGTCAGCAATATTCTACACGATAGTATGACAATTACAAGTCTGGACCAGACAATCCAGTGAGTGATATAATGAGCAATAGCCACACAATCATGTTACGATTGCCCACTTTCAAACAAGTCACAGAGCCATACTACCCAGTACATTTAGTTGCCTCTTACATCCAGCACAGGCTGCTGGGGGCCACCTCCAACATGGAACCTCCCCCCCCCCCGGTTACAATACATTAATGATAGATGTTCTAGTTGAATACATTTCCACCTACTCTGTGTCTTCCAACTTGACTTTGATGTCTTCTATATAAGCTTTCTGTTCATCTTTCAGCCATTTCTTAACTGCATCTAAGAATGGACCAGTTCTACCTTCATCATCCTGTAAAATATAAATACAGCTAAATTATCTTCTGAAAGACAAATTCAACTGCATGAAAAATCAAACCCAGAAAGACATGTCTGTGCTAAAGGGATGAAAAAGGATTCTATTACTTACGTTTTTCAAAGATAAGGGTTTTATCATTAACTGGTTAGATGTCTTGAGAGGATAAAGCCAATAATTTAACATGTATCCATTGGGCTTATTTACAGTTAAATATGCAAACATGAAAGGTAAGGATTACTTTCAGTGTTATAATACAAACAAATACGACTTCGGCATGTCTATCAGCACACGTCAATGATGACAATTTGGGATCTGGACCAGTTGGCTATTATATCTGAGGTTTATACACAGAAACCAGTTTCAGTTTGTGGCTAAAGTGACAGACAGATACACAATTCATCATTCTCAGCTGTCTTAATTATAATCTACTGACCTCCATAAACAGATTCTTGTACTCAAAATCTGGAGATTCCTTGGCATCAAGCTCGACCTCGGCAGCCTGCACCATGGCCTGTAAGGCTTCTTCCTCTATGCCGGAGAAGAACTCCTGCAGCCCTGCCCTGAAGTCCTCCCGGGACAACTGGCCCTGGTTGCCCTGCTCTGAGTCCATCTTGGTCAGGGCCGTGATCAGCTTCTGGGACGATGAGCAGCTGCTTGTGGTGGACCTCCTCATCAATCTGGCAAACAGTTAAAGGTCATCAATTTTGTTGTGGAATTTTCCTTTATCCCAGAGCTGACCCCAGCATAATAATTACTGCCTGTCTGTTTGTTTTTTAATGTCGCACTCAGCAACATTCCAGCTATATGACTATATTTAAATAATCAGGTTTGGATCACACAATCCAGTGACAGACATCATAAGCATCAGTCTACACAGTTGGGATACGATGACATGTGTCACCCAAGTCCGCGAGCCTGACCACTCTATCCTGTTAGTCAACCCTTACGAAAAGCGTGGGTTACTGAAAATTAATTCTAACCCGGATCTTCACAGGCCAGTTAATGAAATAATTATTAATACAACATTGTGATTATAATTGATTGAATACATCCACAATGATTGTCACTTCACATTAACTTACTTCACTTAAATGTAAGTTTGGTTTAAAAGTACTTTGAACTATATTTCACGTATATCCCTACATCTCAGCTTGATGTGTGTGGAAAGCCCAAAGTCATGCAGGCTTACTAACAGAGTCTTAAGACATTAAACCTTTAAATGAAATACAAGTATGGGGGTTGAGGCTGAAAAACCTGAAATTGAATCAAGGTGAATCTTGGATTCAAATCTACAATCCCAGGTGTCTGGCATACCAAGGGGAGGCAACTCTGTACAGCAAATCATGGTACATTAAGAGTATATTTTGGTCTTCAAAAAACAAGCCATCTAACAGTGGCATTTCTTTTACATACATGGTAACAGGAGCCAGGAGTATTTAACAATTAACTCCTTCTGTACTTGTGGAACACTAAAGGATGAGAGGTTGGTGTTTCCTGGTCAGGTGGTGATGGAAATCTAATTATTAAATCACCATGGCTGTATCTTAACTGCCCATTCGGATCCAATGTACGAACCATTCTCTTGTGTGTGGACCAATAACGAATCATCCACAATATTGCAGGAATTCTGCATGACTTACCTCCCCTGAGAGCACTCCCCAGAAGAGTCCAATGTTGTCATCATTAGTGTAGCGCTGCAGGGCGTCATGCAGGTTGTAGCCCCACTCCATCACCATGGTGTCCAGGGAGAAGCGGCGCTGGAGGTACATGTGCAGGAACTCGGCCATATTCTCACGCTTACCATCAGTTTTCTGGGGAATATGATGACACACGATGAGCATAGCACCACAACCTGAATACCTAAACCTCAGTTTAGACAAGTTTTAAGTGATAAGTCTAGCTTTACGCTGCTTTTATCAAAATTTCAGCAATATCACGGCGGGGGACACCAGAAATGGGCTTCACACATTGTATATAAATGCACTTATTATTATTATTATTGTACCCATGTGGGAAATCACCCGGGTCTTTGGCATGACGAGCAAAAGCTTTAACCACTAGGCTACCCCACCACCCCGACAAGTTTTGAGAAATTGTGACAGAGGTATTCTTCACGCTCCCCAAGTAACATAGTTTTGTTTGTTGGAATGAGTGAGTGAGTGAGTGAGTTTAGTTTTACGCCAAAATGTTCTAGCCATATAGTAGTGGTCTGTAAATAATTGATTCTGGACCAGACAATCCAGTGATCAACAGCATGACCATAGATCTACACAATTGCATTATGATGACATGTGTCAACCAAGTCAGCGAACCTGACCACCCAATCCCGTTAGTCGCCTCTTTGTCAAGTATGGGTTCCTGAAGATCAATTCTAACCCAGATCTTCACAGGTTGTTTGTTAAAGAGTATGAATGACTGAGAGCAATACTTTTGTTGTAACCAAAGCAGTACACTCTGCCAATGTAGTACATTCATGTTCCTATCAGCTAGCCACTGACCTGGGCATCATGGGCACCCTTTTCCCGCCAGATATCCTTGATGAGGAGTGAACAGTCTCTTTTGCCCAGGCGCCTGTTACGGACCTGACCCTCGGACTTCAGATAAGCAGGAACATCCTCACTATTGCCCTGAAGGAGGTCAAACAAAAGATACAGCTAAAGTGAAACACATTTGGCTCATATCAGATTGGAGTCATATGCCATGTGTGATTATTTGTAGCTCAGACAAATACCTGAGAGACGATAAAAACATACTGTAAACTAAACAACATGAATGAAGGAGTGAATGTTTTTAATGCAACACTCTTCAATATTCCAGTGACCATCATGGCAATCTGTAAATAACTGAGACTGGACCAGAAAAAACAGTGGTTTATATTATAAGCATGGACCCATTATGAATTCAGTCAGGTATGTCACCGTATGATCCAATTAGTAAGTGATAAAGACAAGCAACAGAGTGCTCATAAGACTAGGAGCCTAAAGTTTCAGACAACAGTTAACAAGCATCCACTTTTCGCCTGATGCACATAACCTTGTACCTTTGTGACATACTTTTCAATAAAGTTTGCCTATATATTCACACTGCATGGTAAGGCAAAGGCTGTTCATCTGGTTAAATCATCTCACCTTAGGATCAAAGTAGTCAGCCCCGGCAGAGTCGACAAGTCCACCTGACCCGATCTCCGTGAGCAGCACATCCACCAGCTCATTGCTCCTCTTGCCCTCCGCCATCTCCTTCCACCGTGCCAGGCCCCCGTTGATGTGGTCAGCACACCGGTCCCAGTCAGGCCTGAAACAATATAGATGTATACAGGCTTAGTGAATGAATCAGTCAGGATTGACAACTCAGTTTGACAACTAGATGCTTGTTTGGCATTTTAGAACATGCTATTTCATGAACATAAATAATTTTCTGGATTTCATTTTCTTTTATATTCTTACCTCAGTTGGTGTCCTTTTGTACGAAAGCAGTGTGTTGATGTGACTGAGTTTGGTTTTGCGCTGCTTTTAGCAATATTCCAACAATATCATGGTGGGGGACACTAGAAATGGGATTCACACATTGTACCCATGTGGGGAATCGATCCCGGGTCTTCGGCGTCTAGGCTACCCCACCGCCCCTGTGTCTGTATGAATACAGTTTCGATGCTTGTGTCATATCAATGTGTTGATGTCAGCTGCTTCTGTGAAGTGGTCTGCAAAGATTCATACATACCTTGGTGTGGAACTCCTCTTGAGAGTCTCCAGCTCCAGGTAGAACTCATCTCTCTGCTGTGTCACCTGCTTCTGTACATCAAGCAGAGCTCTGGAAACACACAATGCCAGTAAGTCATGTACCCATGGTTCCCAAGAAATAACAAAACGCCCTACAGAATTTTTTTCTGTCATTACATTTTATTCAAGTACAAGACTTGGAGTTATAGTTTTTTTATGACTGCATCAAATTCTATATCTCTTTATTGTGAAAGATTGAGTTAATGCTGTTTGAAATGCGGAGTTTCACTAGACCATAACAGCGTATAACAATAACAGCTTGTCCTAAACCAGTGATTGACAGTATAAGCAACATTCAGTAACAGCAACATTCAGTAACAGTAACTGGAGACAAATCACACAGCCTTGCCACCCAATCGGATGTACTGGCTCTTACATCCTCAGCATCCTAACCTTTAACTAAAAGTGAACTTTAGCACAGAAATGCTCACCCATAGAAACGGGGACCCAGAGGATTTGACAGTTAAGTAGTTAGTACACAGAAATGCTCACCCATAGAAACGGGGACCCAGAGGATTTGACAGTTAAGTAGTTAGTACACAGAAATGCTAACCCATAGAAACGGGGACCCAGGAGGTGGATTTTGACATAGAAGCCAAGGACCCAGAGATTTAGTTAAGTTAGTACACAGAAATGCTCACCCATAGAAAGCGGGGGACCCAGAGGATTTGACAGTTAAGTAGTTAGTACACAGAAATGCTCACCCATAGAAAGACCCAGGATTTGACAGTTAAGTAGTTAGTACACAGAAATGCTCACCCATAGAAACGGGGACCCAGAGGATTTGACAGTTAAGTAGTTAGTACACAGAAATGCTCACCCATAGAAACGGGGACCCAGAGGATTTGACAGTTAAGTAGTTAGTACACAGAAATGCTCACCCATAGAAACGGGGACCCAGAGGATTTGACAGTTAAGTAGTTAGAACACAGAAATGCTCACCCATAGAAACGGGGACCAAGAGGATTTGACAGTTAAGTAGTTAGAACACAGAAATGTTCACCCATAGAAACGGGGACCCAGAGGATTTGACAGTTAAGTAGTTAGAACACAGAAATGCTCACCCATAGAAACGGGGACCCAGAGGATTTGACAGTTAAGTAGTTAGTACACAGAAATGCTCACCCATAGAAACGGGGACCCAGAGGATTTGATAGTTAAGTAGTTAGTACACAGAAATGCTCACCCATAGAAACAGGGACCCAGAGGATTTGACAGTTAAGTGAAGTTAGTACACAGAAATGCTCACCCATAGAAACGGGGACCCAGAGGATTTGACAGTTAAGTAGTTAGTACACAGAAATGCTCACCCATAGAAACGGGGACCCAGAGGATTTGACAGTTAAGTAGTTAGTACACAGAAATGCTCACCCATAGAAACGGGACCCAGAGGATTTGGACAGTTAAGTAGTTAGTACACAGAAATGCTCACCCATAGAAAACGGGGACCCAGAGGATTTGACAGTTAAGTAGTTAGTACACAGAAATGCTCACCCATAGAAACGGGGACCAAGAGGATTTGACAGTTAAGTAGTTAGTACACAGAAATGCTCACCCATAGAAACGGGGACCCAGAGGATTTGACAGTTAAGTAGTTAGTACACAGAAATGCTCACCCATAGAAACGGGGACCCAGAGGATTTGACAGTTAAGTAGTTAGTACACAGAAATGCTCACCCATAGAAACGGGGACCCAGAGGATTTGACAGTTAAGTAGTTAGTACACAGAAATGCTCACCCATAGAAAGCGGGGACCCAGAGGATTTGACAGTTAAGTAGTTAGTACACAGATGCTCACCCATAGAAACGGGGACCCAGAGGATTTGACAGTTAAGTAGTTAGAACACAGAAATGCTCACCCATAGAAACGGGGACCAGAGGATTTGACAGTTAAGTAGTTAGAACACAGAAATGTTCACCCATAGAAACGGGGACCCAGAGGATTTGACAGTTAAGTAGTTAGAACACAGAAATGCTCACCCATAGAAACGGGGACCCAGAGGATTTGACAGTTAAGTAGTTAGTACACAGAAATGCTCACCCATAGAAACGGTGACCCAGAGGATTTGACAGTTAAGTAGTTAGTACACAGAAATGCTCACCCATAGAAGCAGGGGACCCAGAGGATTTGACAGTTAAGTAGTTGTTACACACAGAAATGCTCACCCATAGAAACGGGGACCCAGAGGATTTGACAGTTAAGTAGTTAGTACACAACATGCTCACCCATAGAAAGCGGGGACCAAGAGGACCCAGTTAAGTAGTTAGAACACAGAAATGCTCACCCATAGAAACGGGGACCCAGAGGATTTGACAGTTAAGTAGTTAGAACACAGAAATGCTCACCCATAGAAACGGGGACCCAGAGGATTTCACAGTTAAGTAGTTAGTACACAGAAATGCTCACCCATAGAAACGGGGACCCAGAGGATTTGACAGTTAAGTAGTTAGTACACAGAAATGCTCACCCATAGAAACGGGGACCCAGAGGATTTGACAGTTAAGTACTTAGTACACCAACTCTTGGATGCATATACACGCTGGTGGTACACCCCAAAGAATCTCTCAGATTTCTGGATTTATGGTAACGCTTATAACGAACTGACAGATATGTCAAACTGTTGTCCAGGTCACTGCCTGTATATTTTAGTCGAAATAATACAACAAACTATGGTTTTAATGAACTAAAGCCAGTGGTCTCTTCGAGTTTGTTATAACCATAGCTTCCTGTAGTTAATTTCTTGTCTACTCTGAAAGTGTGTCCGCGTCGCTGATTTTATTTGGGTTACACTTACTCATGCTCAACCTGTAGTTTCATGAAGTCGTCCTTTGAGACTTGACTCTCCTCCTCTAGTTTCTGGAACCAAATGACATAGGGTGATGCCATGTGACATGGTGTGGGGACATGTGACACGTGTGATTTAACATTGTGTGAAGATGTGACAGACTCACATGTCACATGTGAAGCAGTGTTGTGGCATGTGACATTGTGAGATGATGTGAGAGTATGGTGACAGGTGTGACATAGTGTAGTGACCTATATGAAAAAGTAGGGTGACAGGTGTGATAGGTGTCTCAGAAATGACAAAGTGTGTTGACAAATGGGACAGTGATTGAGTGTGTGAGTGAGTTTAGTTTTACACCGCTTTTAGCAATATTCCAGCAGTATCACGGCAGGGCTCACCACAAATGGGCATCACACATTGTACCCGTGGGGAATCAAACCCGGGTCTTCGGAGTGACAAGCGAACGCTTTAACCACTAGGCTACCCCACTGTGCCACAAATGTGACAGTGGGAACAGGTGGGACATTGTGTGGTATGGATGTGACAGAATACTTTACAGAAAGTGAGGATCAACCAAAATAATAATATAATTATTAGCTGTATTGTCTTTTACCTTATGTTTAGCTTCTAATGCCTCGTGGTCTCGTCTGGGAATCACATCCCCATAGTTAGCTATCATCTCATTCAGCCGCTGGGTCGCATTTTTCTCATCCTCACGGGCCTTCCTGTAACCAGCAGCATGAGTTACACATGTAACACAGACAGTGTATGACACAATCTCGGGGTTCTGTAGCTCACCTCATTCAGAAATATTCACATCAGATAATAACTGTCTTAATAACAGAGTAAACAATAACATGCAAAATATAAGTAACAGAAGCTTCATGCAACACAACAGCAAGAATATTTTAAGATAATGGCTTTGTAATAAACATGTGAACATAAACATGTCAGTGACCGAAACAATGATTCTTTACATTTTAGGGACAATATTACCGAGACATGTTTCAACATGAGCAAACCTCTGAACATGATCCTTGTGTTAATCCTATCTCACCTAAGTGCTGTTTTAAGTGTGATGGGGTCCAGATAAGACCATGATCCTTCTGTTAATCCTATCTCGCCTAAGTGCTGTTTTAAGTGTGATGGGGTCCAGATAAGAACATGATCCTTGTGTTAATCCTATCTCACCTAAGTGCTGTTTTAAGTGTGATGGGGTCCAGATAAGAACATGATCCTTGTGTTAATCCTATCTCACCTAAGTGCTGTTTTAAGTGTGATGGGGTCCAGATAAGAACATGATCCTTGTGTTAATCCTATTTCACCTAAGTGCTGTTTTAAGTGAGATGGAGTGCAGATGAGAACATGATCCTTGAGTTAATCCTATCTCACCTAAGTGCTATTTTAAGTGTAATGGGGTCTTCCTGGGCCTCCTGTGCATCCTGCAGACTCTGTTTAGACACGAGGTAGTCCTCCTGCTGATAACGGAGATCGTTGATGTCAGACACAAGCAGTTTCCGAGCATCGAACTCATCCCGATATTTGCGGTACTCTTCATGCAGTTTCTCCTGGAGTCGAACCACCTGCTCCTCCAGATCCTTCTGCTGATTCCTCATGGAGGAGATCTGCATCTGAAGCCCTTTGTTGTCTGCCTTTAGTCGTATAATCTCTGCAAAATACGATTTGTGAGTGAGTAAGTTTTCCATCAAGTTAGGCGGTGGGGTAGCCTAGTGATTAAAGCATTCGGTCATCATGCCAAAGACCTTGGTTCCATTCCCGACATAGGTACATTGTGTGAAGCCCATTCCTGGTGTCCCCTGCTGTGATATTGCTGGAATATTGCTATAAGAGGTGGAAAGCCATATTCAAATTCTTCATACAGGGCCTTCACAAAGAACTCATTTATTACACAGTGCCTCCTACAGAGATTCGGACTAAAACTGGTCTTCAACAACCCATGTATGTCATGAGGCAAATAGCAGGACCTGGTGATCAAACTGACTGACTTGGTTGATGCATGTTATTTCAGTGCAGATTGAAGCTCATGACGTCAATCACTGGATTGTTTGATCCAGATTCAGTTATTTAATGACCACCATCATATGTCTTGAATACTGCTGCTTGCAGTATCAAAAACAAACAAAAAACAAACATCCATGACAAGGTGTTCAGAAACATTAAAAAAATAATGTTTGGGCCTGGTGCTGTGGTGGGGTGATGGCAAAGTAAAATAACCATGAATTTGGGATTTGAACCCACAATCATGGGATTCTAGTTTCACCATAAGAGAGCTCATCGAAGCAGCTTGGACAAGTGAGCCACTTTTGCCTCATTTAACACAGTCAAGTATTGAAAGGTGGCCTAACTTCTGGTGTTTAAAGACAGTAGAGTGAAAGTTTTTGGCCAAGTGCAGTTGTACCTTGTTTTTCTTCCTCCCGTAGCGCCATGACTTTCTGGTCACACTGTTCTGACACTGTCACCAACATTTGCTGAAGAAAAAGAATCTGACTGTTACACTTGAAGACTTTCATACCAGTAACTATTAAGATACTACATGAAAGAGACTGTATATTTAGGGACACAAATGTTGTTCTTAGGAATCATAGAAAACTAACCCAAAGTGGTTGAAAGTCACACTGACACAAACTCGCTGCAGAGGGTCAAAGTTACACTCAAACAAACTCACTGAAACTAGGTCAGTCACATTGATACAACCTGAATGGTTCATTGTCACTCTAAGACAACTAAAGTGGTTCAGTCACTCTGACACAACTGCACTCGTTCAAAATCACACTGACACAAATTCATCGAAACTGGTTCAAAGGTCATAGACATAATCTCAAACACAATGGTTCAGAGCCACACCATGACACAACTCAAAGTAGTTCACATATATACTGAGACACAAATTCGACCAAAGTGGTTCACACTGATACTGGGACACAAATTCAACCAAAGTGGTTCACACTGATACTGGGACACAAATTCAACCAAAGTGGTTCACACTGATACTGAGACACAAATTCAACCAAAGTGGTTCACGGTGATACTGAGAGATAATTCAACTAAAGTGGTTCACACTGATACTGGGACACAAATTCAACCAAAGTGGTTCACATTTATACTGAGACACAAATTCAACCAAAGTGGTTCACATTTATACTGAGACACAAATTCAACCAAAGTGGTTCACGGTGATACTGAGAGATAATTCAACCAAAGTGGTTCCTACTGATACTGGGACACAAACACACCTGAAGTGGTTCCCACTGATACTTAGACACAAATTCAACCAAAGTGGTTCACATTTATACTGAGACACAAATTCAACCAAAGTGGTTCACACTGATACTTGGACACAAATTCAACCAAAGTGGTTCACACTGATACTGAGACACAAATTCAACCAAAGTGGTTCACATTTACGATAATTTGATACTGAGACACAAATTCAACCAAAGTGGTTCACACTGATACTGGGACAAATTCAACCAAAGTGGTTCACACTGATACTGATACTGGGACACAAATTCAACCAAAGTGGTTCACGGTGATACTGAGAGATAATTCAACTAAAGTGGTTCCCACTGATACTGAGACACAAACTCACCCGAAGTGGTTCCAGCTCCCTGATCTGCTGTCTCTGACTCGCCAGCATCATCTCATACTCATTCTTGATGGCTGCCAACAGGTGGCGATATGTCTTGAAGTCTTCAATCAGGTACTCAAATACTTCACGGTGTGCCTTGGAAATTAAAAGGAAACTTAAACTAACAGTTTAATCACAAATGTCTTCAGAAACTCTAAAAGATAGAACTTGGAGTTGTGATAGCTGCCCAACGTTCATTGCGACTACACCTCTTTCAACAGAGTTTCAGTTATATCACAGCATGTCATTAGAAGGAGACAGGAAAATACAAAGGAAGATGAGGTGATATGGGGTATATTATTATTTTATAGGTGAGGTGAGGTGAAATGGGGTTTAACGTTGTACTTAAGAACAACAAGTACCATAGTTTAACATCTTTTGGTATGATGCAGCCGCGGATCGAACCCCTGGCCTTTCGCTCTCCAGGCAGATGCTCTAACCACTACACCCAACGGATGGTTGATTATCTTTATAACTATATAGCGATGACAATCTGTAATGGGTATGGTGTTGGGCGTGCCAAGCATCAAGTCTGGGCAAGTCCAGGATTCAAACTGATGAGCAGCTAATCCTGGCATGGCTAAGGGGAGGCAACTATGAACAGCAACTTGTGTGTGTCTTAAAACACTTGGCCACCTTCATCCCCACAACACTTATCAAATACATGCAATCAACTACTACATAGCAAGGTTTGGTAACAAAGATTGTACAGGCTGAGAGTCTTGAGTTTGTTACCATGGTGTACCATACAATAGCTAAATTGATGTTTAAACATCTACTCAAATTGGAACACATATGTATATCATTTCATCAGGCAAGGTCAAAATATCCATGTATAAACTGTATTTGTCTGATTGTTGGTTTTGGTGTTTACGCCGCACTCAGCTATATATGGTCCATCGAAGTGGACTAAATAATTCAGTGGTCTTCAACAACCCATGTATGTCATGAAGCAAATAGCAGGACCTGGTGATCAAACTGACTGACTTGGTTGATGCATGTTATTTCAGTGCAGATTGAAGCTCATGACGTCAATCACTGGATTGTTTGATCCAGATTCGGTTATTTAATGACCACCATCATATGTCTTGAATACTGCTGCTTGCAGTATTAAAAAGAAACAAAAAACAAACATTCATGACAAGGTGTTCAGAAACATTAAAAAAATAATGTTTGGGCCTGGTGCTGTGGTGGGGTGATGGCAAAGTAAAATAACCATGAATTTGGGATTTGAACCCACAATCATGGGATTCTAGTTTGACCAAAAGAGAGCTCATCGAAGCAGCTTGGACAAGTGAGCCACTTTTGCCTCATTTAACACAATCAAGTATTGCAAGGTGGCCTAACTTCTGGTGTTTAAAGACAGTAGAGTGAAAGTTTTGGCCAAGTGCAGTTCGCACTTTGTTTTTCTTCCTCCCCGCCATGACTTTCTGGTCACACTGTTCTGACACTGTCACCAACATTTGCTGAAGAAAAAGAATCTGACTGTTACACTTGAAGACTTTCATACCAGTAACTATTAAGATACTACATGAAAGAGACTGTATATTTAGGGACACAAATGTTGTTCTTAGGAATCATAGAAAACTCACCCAAAGTCAGTCACATTGATTGAAAGTCACAACTGGACACAAACTCACTCGCAGATCTTGAACTGGTCAAAGTCATAGACACTCAAACAAAATAAACCTCAACTCAAAGTAGTTCACAATATACTGGTCAAAGTCACATTGATACAACCTGAATGGACACAAATTCAGTTGTCACACGATAAGACAACTAAAGTGGTTCAGTCACTCTGGGACACAAACAACCTGCAATGGTTCAACACAAATCACACTGACACAAATTCATCTGAACTGGTTCAAAGGTCATACTGGGACACACAAACACACCTGAATAATCTCAAACAAAATGGTTCAGAGCCACACCATGACACAACTCAAAGTAGTTCACACTGATACTGAGACACAAATTCAACCAAAGTGGTTCCCACTGATACTGAGACACAAACATACCTGAAGTGGTTCACAATGATACTGAGACACAAACTCACCCGAAGTGGTTCCAGCTCCCTGATCTGCTGTCTCTGACTCGCCAGCATCATCTCATACTCATTCTTGATGGCTGCCAACAGGTGGCGATATGTCTTGAAGTCTTCAATCAGGTACTCAAATACTTCACGGTGTGCCTTGGAAATTAAAAGGAAACTTAAACTTACAGTTTAATCACAAATGTCTTCAGAAACCCTAAAAGAGAGAACTTGGAGTTGTGATAGCTGCCCAACGTTCATTGTGACTACACTTGTCAGGGGCTACACCTCTTCAACAGCGTTTCAGTTATATCACAGCATGTAACTAGAAGGAGACAGGAAAATACAAAGGAAGATGAGGTGATATGGGGTATATTATTATTTTATAGGTGAGGTGAGGTGAAATGGGGTTTAACGTTGTACTTAAGAACAACAAGTACCATAGTTTAACATCTTTTGGTATGATGCAGCCGGGGATCGAACCCCTGGCCTTTCGCTCTCCAGGCAGATGCTCTAACCACTACACCACGGAGGGGGTTGATTATCTTTATAACTATATAACGATGACAATCTGTAATGGGTATGGTGTGGACGTGCCAAGCATCAAGTCTGGGCAAGTCCAGGATTCAAACTGATGAGCAGCTAATCCTGGCATGGCTAAGGGAGGCAACTATGAACAGCAACTTGTGTGTGTCTTAAAACACTTGGCCACCTTCATCCCCACAACACTTATCAAATACATGCAATCAACTAATACATAGCAAGGTTTGGTAACAAAGATTGTACACTGGCTGAGAGTCTTGAGTTTGTTACCATGGTGTACCATAGAATAGCTAAATTGATGTTTAAACATCTACTCAAATTGGAACACATATGTGTATCATTTCATCAGGCAAGGTCAAAATATCCATGTATAAACTGTATTTGTCTGATTGTTGGTTTGGTGTTTAACGCCGCACTCAGCTATATGGTCCATCGAGTGGACCAAATAATCCAGTCATAGACATCATGGGCATCGATCTTCACAGTTGGGATATGATGACATGTGTCAAGCAGGTCAGGGAGCCTGAACCCGTGAAGATCCGGGGTAGAATAGGTCTTCAGCAACCCATGTGCTTGCCATAAAAGGCGACTATGCTTGTCGTAAGAGGCGACTAACGGGATCGGGTGGTCAGTTTCGCTGAAGTGGTTGACACATGTCATCGGTTCCCAATTGCGCAGATCGATGCTCATGCTGTTGATCACTGGATTGTCTGGTCCAGACTCGATCATTTACAGACCGCCGCCATATAGCTGGGATATTGCTGAGTGCGGCGTAAAACTAAACTCACTCACTCACTCAGGGAGCCTGACCAACCCTAAAAGTCGCCTTTTGACAGGCATGGGTTGCTGAAGACCAATTCTAACCCGGATCTTCAACCTGTAAGTGAGCAGACTCAGTGTAGGTTGTATTTACCTGGAGCCTCAGTTCACTTGGTACGACTTCTGTAACTCCAAGAGCCCTCAACTCCTTCTTGAGGAAGTTCTCCAGCTGTTCCAAGAATCTGGGTTTGGGGATCATCCTGGGTTTGCCGCTCTCATCCTCGCTAATCATGACCAGGCTCTTATTCTTGGACAACATGGCTGACGTTGTGGCCAGGGCCTGACCGCTGGCATGTGCTGGCCATGTGTCCAGCTCTCCTGCTTTGGTGTCCACATAAGGCTAGAATGGATGAAACATAGGGTGATAACTGGCTTCAACAAGTGCTTCACAGGAATGACATTAATCTGATTCCAGGTAAAAAGGCCATGAGAAATTATTTGACATCTCTTTGAACTCACAACCCAGAAACTGATATTATGAGCAGTATGGATTGGTGTTGGAGGTTCAAAGTGTATCGGGCTGGTGGGTTAGACTAGTGGTTAAAGTGGTTCATTAGTTAGTGGGAGTATCTTTACGCTTGAAAGTGTTGCAGGAATATTCTAAAAGTGCGTAAAATCTAAATATCCTCACTCAAATGTATCACTATGCATATCAATGATATATTGTATAATTCAAAAATTTTGAATTGGGTTTAAAACAAAATGGTATTTCATATGTGACAGAAGTGTAGGAATGGAATACATGAGGGTGGGACCTGCTTGCATAATTACGGAAACATGGCTTAGGGGTGATGATGATTTTTATGGAGAAGCATGTACAATGTGAATCTGCCCTTGATTTCCAAGCAAAAATGTGCTCAAAAGTGCCAAATATACTTTTATTTCTGTTGGTTTCACACACAAGTGGGAGTATCTTTATAAGTGGCTCCAAAAGTGCCAAAATCCTAAAATGTTTACGGTTTTGGGGTTTGAAAAATGACATTTCGAGAATTAAGGGACCGCCATAAATCTATGTACAAAATACAAGTGAACACCCTACAAAATAAGTGAACACCCCTGCATGTCATGTACAAAATCAATGACCCCCCTCCTTTCCATAATTTCTTAGTGTAATTTTAAACATAGTGTTATGTACTACGAACTTGCTGAACACCACCCCCATAAAGTGTGTGTACAAAACTGCTGTCACCCCCCCCAGCTCCCACAACAAAATGGGTGAACCCACTTAAAATCACTGACCATGACTAACTGACTGAGTTTGGTTTTACACCGATTTTAGCAATATTCCAGCAACATCACGGCTGGGGACACCAGAAATGGCCTTCACACATAATACCCATGTGGGTGAACCCGGGTTCGGCGCGGACAGCCAACGCTTTAACCACAAGGCTACCCCACCGCCCCCACTGACCATGAAACTTATGTTATACTATTACTGTACTTTATCATTGTGTTCTCAAACCGTTTTTGCAATACCCTCAATTAAACATTCCACATTAAGGTTCTATATCATTTTATTTATCTGTAAGCCATTGGCATACAGCCATGCATAATGAGGATTGGGAGCCTGAAAGTATGGTGTAACAGCAACTAAGAAGATAATGTCGCACACACACAGAACAATTATGAATTTATTATGTACGCACTTGGGCAGAAACCCCCCATTCAATATATCACAAAATATATTGCAATATCTCTTAAATTATTGCAATATATCGCAATATGAGAATCAGGGCAATATCCAATCCTAATTCTGATACACATTGTGGTAAGAATGAACCTCTATAAAGCGATATTACAATAATTTCCTACACCCTTAATGAGCAACATCCCATATCATAAAGGTATGAATTTTAAGCCTTGGGGCCTTGAACTTACATCAATATGTATTTGAATCTAAGTACCTCCTAAATATTCAATTTTCAAAATAAAGTCAATAATAGAAATAATTGAACACTGAGTGAGTGAGTAAGTGAGTGAGCTGGATTAAACACCCGGTTTGAACAATGATGCAGTTATATTACAGAATGTCTGCTTGATGTGGTAGGACAGCCAGAAATGTTACATCATTATCATGTCCCAATAAGACACAATATACTGAAAACATCACTGCCAGTCCTTGTTTCATCCACATGTACTCAGTACAAGAAGAAACACAAAATGTGTACATTTACCTGACAATCTGTCTCAGTCTAAAGATTTACACATTCACTATACTAGTTTCTTGGGAATAACTGCAACACATAAATTCATCATCCAAATATATGAACGTATAAAGCCTACAACATAAATTGACACATACCTTGAGTGCATTTGGTAGAGGTAATGGATATTCCTTGTTGGCTAATTTGTAGCTGGGACCACCGAACACATCAAAACGATTGGTAGCTCTTGGTGAGATGCTGGCTATTTTCCCACTGAAAGTTTTAATCATCTTGTTTGTCAGAGTACTTACGACATGTGTAGCAGGTAAGTTCTGGAATTCCCCGCACTGCGTCAATGTACACATAAGTCGGTAACTATCTATCTGTAAGTCCTGGACTCAATAATTTTCCAAAGCATGAATAAAACGTCATCTGGTTTAGTGAGATCAGACTATACTGATCCATACACTTAGACACAATATACTGAAAATAATGTACAAATATATTTTCTGGTGACTAGTGATAAAGGTTTTTGACACAGACTGTTATCACAGCCAACAATTATAAATACTGTATATCAAATTATTGGCAAGATTCTGAATATATTCAACTTAATCCTTAATGATATTAGTGAAAATTGTTTCAAAATGTTATTACATAAATCATAAAATCTAATGATTGGCATCTCTCATGATGTATCAAATTCTCAGGTTTACACTATGTGCAGGTAATGAATAATGCATTCTTGGAAAAAAATATGTTGACCAAATAAAGTAAAGCTGCTGGCATCACTTAGATTTACAGTACAATGACAAGTTGCCACATTACAGTTTTCACTATTCGAGATATGAATCAAACGTCATATCCATGATTTATGAATAAATAAGTAAATCAATAAGACTAATTACAATGTTGTATATTTTTGCAATTTAAAAATAATAGGGCCAGGTTTGTGATTAAGGTACTGGCAACATCCGCATCCATACCATGAAATGATATTCACTTCTTTCACTTTGTAACCGAAAAAACGTTCTGCAGGGTAACCAAGAAACTAACATTTTCCACACTATTTCTTCTGACCACTTACCCCGACAATGGTGGCAGCCTTGCCAAGGCAAGTTTAGTTTCCGCCATCTGAACTGATAAATTGCTAAACCGTGACAGTCATCATTTTGTTCACAAAACACGAAAAGTTTCGTAGGAATCCTACTTCGAAAATCACAACCTTCTACGATTGTTACTCGGCGCCATCTTGAATCACCATGGAAACTTTGTTTTAACGACATTATATACCAGGACACATTGCCTACTACCTGTAAATATATATAATCTGTTTAAGTGAAGACATGTCTATAATATATTACAAGATAATGGCAAGGGAGACCGTTTTTAAATTTATCGTGAATGTTGCAACAACAAAACAACGTATTTGTTTTTGGCAAATATGATGTACTTTTCTTAAGCATTAACGGTTATTAGTTATAACCCTAAAGCGAACGTGGCACGTTTCCCACGCGTATCCGCGCATGTATTATTTACAAACACTTGAAAATGAAGTTCAATTTCATAATCAAGAAAACAGGACAGACTCTCGAAAATGTTCAAACCATTATCTATTAATCACAGTATTATCCGCGGATGTCATTTTGCAGTCTTAATGTAGAATTTGTAGTGGAAGACTGCCTATGAAGATGGTTTCAGTGAATCTGGGGGAATATCTAACTACTGTATTGGCAAACACGGTATAATCTTTCTAAGAAAGACTTAAATCTGAAATTTAATACATGACATGAATCAAACTTGTTTGGTCTGACCCGAGGCTATTATAAAGTTTAATATATCAATAAATATTAGTACGATATATATAAATCGATAATATAAACATATCTGCAGTCAGTAATTCGTGTTTCTTTTGACAAGTTAAATTGCATTTAAATGTGAATCTATTATGAACTGCATAAACGAAAGATCACTGGTCGATACAGATTGACCTATGGTCAAAGGGAGATAACCCCGAAAGTGACGGTCACGGAGAGGTTGTGGCATGCAAATGATCAAACTCGTAAACTGGGTCACAGTGAATGATGTTTCACGAACAATGACAACATATTCTTGGTTCGAATACGCCAATCTTTTTAATGGGCCAGTGGAATCAAGGAGCAGTATTTGTGATAATGTCTCAGCAATAACGGTGCTACTTCCCTTCAACCGTTCATCAACAAGATTGGCGAGCCATATTTTGTTCTTTGAACTCTTTTCGTGTAAATCCTGTCAACATCGATTTTACTATATGCCGAAGAAATCTATTTATACAAGCCCAAATTCCGACATTATATAACTTATTCAGAAAACAGATGTCTCATTCAATTCAGGGGTCACTGGTCGTCCAGTAGTCTAATGTATGACAGTCATGTGTGCTGGTCCTGTGTTCGAATCCCAGGTTCGCCCCGGGATTGTTTATGCTAGGTTTGTTAACACCATGCACGGGTTCGTGTGCTTCATCACGTGATATACTTCGGATTTTCTCTGACATCAAGCGGACATTACCGTGATCGAGGTACCAGTAACTACAAAACATTAAGCTCAAAGCAACGGTAACTAAACAGTTACTCACTCACTCTCAGATGCCTACTCATATTTTTGGAATTCTTGTAGGTGTGGAAACATAAATATTTTTGCATAATAACAGCAGTTGCAGAAGCACAGATAGATCTTTTCCTCGTGAGTTACAGTGCTATACGCATGCATGAAACTGACGCGCAACAGAAGAAACAATGACACTTAATTAATTGAAGGTTCAATTTGACAAAACGTAATTTACAAATGTTTTCTAAACTTGATGCTGTGAAATACTCATAAAGTGATCACAATCATAATTGAGAACCGTTATAAACAGATTTGTTAAATTATTTTATACAGTGAAACCAAGTTAATCCGAACGTGATTGGAATGACATCACAAACTACACCTAATTTATTTAACCATTTATTTTGAACAAAAAAGCGGTACTACGCTATGTCTGTCTGCATGCATGAACATACACAGATAAAACTGTAACATGTAGGATTGTACGACAACAAATGTGAACTTCCTTTTACGTGTGCTGCACACAAGTGTGTATATTATTCACTGAATATATCATCGTGTTATGGACCCGTGAAGATCCGGGTTAGACCTGGGCCCCGTTTCACAAAGCTCTCGTAGCGCTACGACTGTCGTTAGTCTTTGTTACAGTATAGGAGGTGCGAATGCTACGAGAAAAGTTACGAGATCTTAGGCCTACGAGAGCTTTGTTAAACGGGACCCTGGTCTTCAGCAACCCATGCTTGTCGTAAGAGGCGATCAGGATGGTCAGGATGTCCCAATTGCGTAGATCTATCTATCGATTCTCATGCTGTTGATCACTTGATTGTCAAGTCCAGACTCGACTATTTAGAGACTCCCGCCATATAGCTGGAATATTGCTGAGTGCGGCGTAAAACAATAACCAATCCAAACCAAACCAATCTTCGTGTTATTGGTTTGCGGACGCCATACGTCATTGTCTCAATTATCAAGTGAACAATTGTGAAACATGCCTCTAACCTATTAAAGTCAACTTTATCTTAAACACAAACCATCGTCCAAGCATTTGCAATTCCTGCGTGTCACAACTCGCCTCGTAATAGCGCGAGTTCAAAAACTGACGACCCGACGATGTAATAATAATCCCTACGTATATATAATGAAGGACTGACTTACTAGATTTTCAGAAAACTGTCGAGGGGACATTTTACGTAAATTTATTACGAAATTTGTAATAGAATTAAGTTTTTAAAACGAGAGACCCTTTTACAGTATAAGTGAGTGAGTGAGTTTGGTTTTACGCCGTATTTAGCAATATTCCCGCAATATCACGGCGGGGGAACAAGAAATACAGTAAAAGGATAATACAAAAGCATATGTATAATCAGATGCACTTCTCGTTGATTGCCTATAACTGCATGATAGTACGAAGCTCTTCGCCTGATAAGCCCATAAATGATTATGCACATTTTGACAGTTGCTGGGCTGAAAAGGCATAGTGGAGCTTACATTCCATGTGAATATTTACAGACACGTTCATTTTCTTTTACCATTAAGCCTATGATGTTATGTTCCACATCATGATCTACATTATAGAAAATAAGTTGCCTTTGGTTTTACATAACATGCACGTAGGCCTAAGAGTTGATTGTTTGATGACGTTATGACGTCACATATAATGGTCCAATGACGTACGTATCAAACCTTGAGAATTCCACTATTTCTCATAATATGATTATGGATATTGAAGGTGCTACATGCTTGATATCGGATATGAATGAAGAAAGGAGTTATGAGAAATCTATACTGACTCTATGGCAAAATCTCACCAAAGACCATATACAGATATGGTATCTGCTTTCGTACATTACATCACTGTATAAATACAATACTGGTTCTTTTGACGATTAATACATCATATATTCTTTCTTTATAAAAGTACTGTATATAAGGTACCAAAACCCTTTACGTAGTATTTGATTGGACAATTGAACTAGACCATCCAATAGAAAAATTTGTTACAAAGTACACAGTATTGAATTTTTGCGTCACATCCGGGTTTTGTTTCGAGTTAGTAAAGCAAGATGGCGACGACGGGAGAAATTTCTTCGTCTGAAAGCCCTAATTCTACCTCGCAAGCTATGACAGATCGACTGATGCTTCTTTACCCCGCAGTGAACGAGGATGACACTCCGATACCCCGCTCATGGAGCCCAAAAGATAAATACAATTACATCGGCCTTTCTCAAAATAATCTGCGTGTTCATTACAAAGGTATAGTCACAAATTCGACATTTAGTGTTACTCAATAAACAGCTGATAATGCGACTGTGTGTATGTAGTTGAAAATGTGAACATAGTTAATACAATACACTAAGTATTAGTCAGAATTGAATGTTTTTCCATCTGTAATTTCTTACAGCCAGTATAGGTCTGTGAAATACTGATTTCCGCGTCGGTCTTTACGATACATTGGGCTAAGGGTATAATTGATTCATGGGCTTGTTTAGACATATTGACAACTGTAGTGAATGGTTCATGGATATTTTTCATTTCATCAGTAGGATTTCTGGTTCATATAAAGATAACTGTAACCTGCTCACCTGATATGATACCATATAGCCATTATTGATTAATAAGCCGTCAGGTCTATGTCATTATATAGTCATTAAATGAAGGAGTCGCCCAAAGAACAAAACTGTTAAGTTGATTGTCTGTATTTATGTAGCCTGTGCCTTGTGAATAAACATACAGGTTGAGAAATTCCTTGTATCAGATTGCCAGCTGCATGGTTGAATTTGTTATTGGACAGTTAGAACAAGTGCATGTTGCCTGAAGGGGACATCTTCTATCTCATGTTTTTAGCATGGAAACCAAGAATGATTATAATTATATGGCCCCAGTGATTTTATTCAAGGAAACGGGACATATAATTGATACATTATGACCATATGAATGAGTGTAATTCACAGTATGGTTCAGCTCATTTGAAATGGTATGCACATAGTTTGAAGATGATAAAAAATATCATTTTTGTTTTGACTAATGAATTCCACATATCACACTGTGATTTCTTTTAACTACTAGTATATGATTTAAGTGTGCCAAGTTGAACAGGTGAAAAGCAATACATATCTATCTATCCTTGTAAGTTATGGCATGTCTAGAAGGAACTTAGTTAAGTGGTACTTAAGATGGACCTTGAGCTAGACAATTGTTACTTGTATACTTACCTGCCTATTTTGTGTTTATGTATTTTAGGGGTGGGCAAGACCCCAAAGGATGCTGCAAGCGTGCGTGCTACCCACCATATTCCTGCAGCATGTGGAATATACTACTTTGAAGTGAAAATAATCAGCAAAGGCAGAGATGGGTAAGTGTTTTATTTTACATTTTGATATTTGAAAATGGTACATCAAGAAAATCACTTAAACTGGTATAGACCACACAAACTTCACACAACCGATAATTCTGTAACCGTGGTAACTGTCTAGGTTACTCTTTGTCTTCAGCATCCCACAAGACTAAGAGGTAACTACAGGTTCTGGTGAATCAGATGGTTAGGCTTGCTGACATCACATTGCATAGGTTGATACTCATGACATTAATCACTGGATTGTTTGGTCCAGACATGGTTCCTAACATACCCGTGAAGGTCCGGGTTAGAATGAACCCATGCTTGTCATAAGAGGCGACTAACGGGATCGAGTGGTCAGGCTCGCTGACTTGGTTGACACATGTCATCGGTTCCCAATTGCGCAGATTGATGCTCAAGCTGTTGATCACTGGATTGTCTGGTCCAGACTCGATTATTTACAGACCGCCGCCATATAGCTGGAATATTGCTGAGTGCAGCGTAAAACTATACTCACTCCCTCACACTGATTCCTAGCAAGTCACTTCACATGTCTAGAATTGTGCAGAGTTAAACAACAGACTGAAAAAAAATACAGAGTATTCAACAATAGAAAAATTATACATTATTTTGATATGCAACCTGTGTCCATGATGATTGATATAGCTATGCATGGTTGTGAAAAATGAATCAGTGTCTTTTCGTTCTAAAGGTCATTTCTAAGTGAAAGATTTTGGTAATGTGAGGATATGGGGCGCAGTGGGTGAGCTGGCTAAGGAGCCAGGCTAGTGATCCAGCAAGGTTGAGGTGTCGGGATCGAGCCCACCTGTGACCGGGTGTAAAAACCTTGGAGTCAACTTTGTGTGCAGACTCTTTCAGTGTTGTCACAACCCCTAGTGTACAGTACACAACCCTGTGCACTAATAAGATCCCACGAATCCATTGGTATTTGACCAGATGGTGGCCACATGAATACGTGCAAACACCTAGTTGCGGGTACAGCAACATGCAGTGAACATGACTATGCGTCCCAGTCCACCCAGCTGTGAATGGGTACCTCGTTAGTATGAGAAAGCCACAATAACTCGGTGCGTCTAGTGGCTGCAAGAGTTGTATACTTCCCAGGGAGTTGAGATTGATAATGCTATGTGCCGTTGAGATTGACATCCAATGGTCGAGGGAAAAAATACCAGCGCCTTGAGCATGCACCAGTGCGTGGATATGTGCGCTATATAAATATCCTATAATAATCATAAATAATATTTATCTAATCAATTGTTCTTAAGGAAGTCGCTTTCATCTCAACTATTGACCATAGGGATTATGGAAAGTAGTATTTCGTGTACTGTGGGGATTGATTTCAACAGTGCAGTCACATGTCCTTTGAAACCTTTTACTGATTTAATCATTCATGACATGTGGATCAGAGTGAGTAATAATGGGCAGAAGTAGATTAAAACTAAAAGTAGCCATAATTACAAACTAGTTGTTATGGAGGATATCTCAGCCAGTGGTCTAGGTTTGATGTCGAGAGTTTCCTTCCTTGGGCATCACAGAATCCTCTGATCCTGAGTTTGAATCCCATCTTCACACATTTGTTGGTCTCACCTTGCTACCTGTGTCACTTTGTTTTTTCTTTCCTCGTTATGCTGAGTAGTTTTGACAACTGAATATTGTTCAAAATAGTTTTAACCTTTTGACAATGTTTGATGTGATGTCAGTTATCTGCACCTGCCACAACAGAGTTGGTTAGCCAGGATTTTATTGAAGACCACATAGATCTAAGTTGAACACAAATATATAGTCAATGAACAGACAGTCCAGTGATTAACATAGTGAGCATTGATCTACGCATTTGGGATATTAAGATGTGTGTCAAAACATGTCAGCGAAGCTGATCACACAATGGTAATAGTCACCTCTTACAACAAGGATGTGTTGCGGAAGACCAATACTAACCCGATCTCTTGCTGGAATATTGCTGAAAGTGGGGTAAAAATCTCATTGACACCTTGTTTTGTCAGCACCACACAGGCTCATTGGTTTTATCAAAATGTGGGACTACCTCTGGAAAGTCTATGCTTACATTTGTAGAAATATTATAAGGCAAAGTTAATCAGGTGAAGCAAAGTGGAGCAATGGTGGAGACTTGGTGGATTGGTGATTGTATTTATAAGACTCTCTTGAGAGTTCTGTGACTTCCATGCCACCTCACACAGAAGCATAGCTTACAGACGGTGTCTCCTCGGCATGTGACTTTGTCTGAAACATGTCTCTGTTCAGCAATAAATGGGTACCTTGAAGGATGAGACAGTAAGGTGCCTGGTAACCTCAGGGTCCGATTGTAAATTCCTGTACACCTTGCTAATGATCCGTGTAATTCATGAGCATCATATTACCAAATGCCAAGACAGCCCAGTGATCGGTTGAATGGGTGCCAGTGTTTGTCAGAAGGAGTCTTGTTTCTGTGATTTGTGCCTTTCTTCAACCATGTTTGACTATAAATTGCATAATTTTCAACCAGGAGATTCTTTGGGGGAATTAGTGACCTAATTAATCAGATGGTCCGACTCGATGACTTGTTTAATTGTATGTTGTTGTACCCTGACAGTGCTTATTACTAATATTAGTGCTGCTGATGTCAGTCACTGGATTGTCTAGTCCAGACTTGATTATTTAGAGACCGCTGCCATATGATATCGCTGGAATATTGCTGAGGGCAGCGTTAAACAACAAACATAATTATCCCCCGCCGCGCGTTTAGCGCGAAGCGAGGGATATAGTATTAGGCTCCGTCCGTACATACGAATTGGAATATCTTAAGAGCCGTTCTCTAGATTCTTTTCATATTTGGTACCTAGGTTCATCACAGTATAAGAAAGGTCCAAGTCAGGTTTGGTGACCTTGACCTTCATTTCAAGGTCACAAAGGGGCTTTAACGTTTTACCTGCATGTTAAGCTATCTCAAGAACCGTTCACTGGAGTTTCTTCATATTCAATACCAAACTTTATCTAGGGAAGGCCAAGGCCCAGTCGATTTCGTGACCTTCACATAATTTTCAAGGTCATGGCGACAATTTGAAGATTTCAGCATGTAAGCCTGCATGTTAAGCTATCTCAAGAACCGTTCACTGGAGTTTCTTCATATTTGACACCAAGCTTCATCCAGGGAAAGCGCAGGGCCCAGTCGATTTTGGTGACCTTCACTTAATTTTCAAGGTCACAGAGACACTTTGAAGATTGTTAAATTGCATGTTAAGATAGCATGTTAAATTGCATGTTAAGATAGTCAGTAAGATATCGAAAAAAATATTCATTGGATTTTCTTCATATTTGGCACCAAGCTTCATATAGGGAAGGCGCAGGACCCAGTCAATTTTGGTGACCTTCACTTAATTTTCAAGGTCATGATGACACATTGAAGATTTCAGCATATTAGCCTGCATGTTAAGCTTGTCAGCGAGATATCTCAAGAACCGTTCACTGGATTTTCTTCATGTTTGACACCAAGCTTCATATAGGGAAGGTGCAGGGCCCAATTGATTTTGGTGACCTTTACGAAAATTTTCAAGGTCACAGCGACACTTTGAAAATTTCAGTATGTTAAGATTGTCAGCAAGATGTCTCAAGAACGGTTCACTGGATTTTCTTCATAGACTGTCAAGACTTCTCATGAATGTTTTTTGATACCCAATTTCTCTATTACTATTTTTGGCATATTTCATACACCACGACATTCATGTAAAGGTCAAAGTGAGTCTTGAAAATATTTGTGTGTTTGAACAGCTACAGAGCAAGATATCAAGAGAGGTTGACTGGTCATGTTTTTGTTGACATTTAACTTCATCTTAATCTACGACCTTCACTTTCATTACTCTTTAAGTTTGATTGATAATTTGTGGTGGGGTTTATGTCACCTTAGTGACAACTGCTTGTTATAATAAATATAATTTTCAGCAGTTTTAACAATTGCAGGTGTCATGACAACCTGTGTTGTCATGCTAATAGAAGACTAAGTGAAACATTTTATTCTAAAATCTCTCTCTAAAAAGCTTGATAAGCATTACAATTTGCATGCAAGGAGGTTGTCACTGACAATTAAATAAAAAAAGTTAGAGGTTGCATATTTAAATTATTACCAACAGGGTTGATTTGAATGTAAAGAAAAATCATGTAGAGCAGTAATTTAAATTCTGTTTGTTACGGATCATTTTGCCAGGTGTACAATCCTAGAAATATAAAGTTAAATGGTTAATACTCCTTAAGAAGTTCATATTGTGGGGTATCAGATGAGCTAGATTGTAACCATCCTTCGTATTGAAAGTCAGTAATGAAAAATATTTGGGAACTGTCCACTGCCTTATGTTTGTTTTGAGCATGTCTCAAAAGGCACAATTCTAAGAATAGCAGTGGAATGAAATTTAGCTGTGAGAGAAATCCTGAAATGTTTGAGTGAGGATAGGTGGCAATGGCAACATCACTTTGGAAATGAAGCAGTCTTTCGTGAATGTGTTCAAGATAAAATGTAGATTCATGTGTATTATCGCTGATACTTTTGCACTTCTGTATATATCATCATTCCATTTCTCTTGTCTAGATTCATTCTCATAGTGCCCAGATCAACTTGTATAGTTCATATATCAACATGCATGATATACACTCTCTTGTTGACAGTGATGCTTTACACAGTATGCCTGTCTTGATGGAAGAGTTGCCGAGTCATGTATGGGCATACCTCAAGCCTGTTTAAATACGACTGGCCATACTTAGTCTCTGAATGTATGTAATTTTGATAGAAACAAATAATTCCTTTTAAATGGAAAAGGTGCCCCAGTGAGATGGGAGATTCAGAATCTGAACCAAAGGAAATCCAGACTTGCTTCTTTTAGGACTTTAGCAGTGTGGAAAGTGCTGGGCTGAAGGAAAATAATGCAGTTCATGGACTTGTGAGACTAGTAACTGGCTTGTACAGCTGTAGAAATTCAGTTTTGTAGAGATGTCCTGATGACTAGTTTGAA